AAAAAATATAAAATAATATATATATATATATATATATATATATATATATATATATACACACACACACCAATAACACGTGAGTTATATTACATATGAAATATTTCTGACAAATTTATATTTGTTGAAAATGTAAGAATTTTATCGATCTAATTATTAGATTAAAAGTTATTAAATTTTACTAATAATTAACATAGAAAATATATTTATTAGCTTTGAAATAAATTATTTGCAAATAATATAGTTGAAAAATTAATTATTTTAAATTATTTAACTAGAATCTTATTAATATATTACTATATGATTTTGATATTTTTGTATAACTAATATCTGGTTTTAAACATGATATGAAAATATTATGATATAACATGATAAGATTTTAAATTAGAATTTTATTAATGGTTGACAATTAAAAAATAAAACAAGGATAAATAAATTTTTTGAATTTTATATCTTAGATTTAAGATGAATAAATATATTAATTTAATTAAAAATTTATCTAAAGTTAAAATTTAATTTATAAAAATAATATTTTAAAAGAGAAGGGTTATAATAACACTGGTGTAACTTTTACTAAGTATTACATTACTCAACAACTTTATATTAAATGTGAATTTTATAAATTTAACTGTTAGATTGAAAGGTTTTTACTCTTAGATCATACATACAAAATTTTATATGAATTCAAGATGATTTGATACTTCATTATTGTAAAAAAAATTGACGTAATATATACATTTCAAAATATACTAAAATATGAGTACTTTGATTACCTTCAAGTTGTTGTTCAATTTTAACAAAACTTGATATCACTATAAAAAATTATGTCATTAGTAGGGGTTTTTTCTAGCGGTTTCAAAAAACCGCCACAAAATATTATATTTTTGGCAATTATTTTAACCACCACAAAAAAATGATATTTTTAGCAGTTTAAAATCATCACAATATTTAAATACCTGTATGTTACATGTGACAACTATTTTTTTTAGTATTATTTTTAAAAGAATAAAAATCAAAAATCAAAAACTTATTCTTAGATCATTAAAATATGAAGACACATTTTGTAGTTGTACAACTAAGGTGCTTATATGCAGGTCAGACGCGTGCAATTTCCTTCACTTCACCCTCTCTACTTTCTCTCTCTCTCTACGACCTGTTTCCCAATCTTTTTTTCTCATTTCCATTTTCGAATTCTGATTATTTCTTTAATTCTTCGGTTTTCCCATTTCTCAGCCTTCGAGGACTTTCTCAACCGCTTTGAACTACGTAAGTGCTCTTTGTTTTTCGCTTCAATTTTTCTCAGATTTTTGTTTCGTGATTGTGATTGTTGATGCATCCACTTTTGATTGGCACAGCACCTTGACTCACCGGACAACAACCCTAACCTCCCATGGGAATTCTCTGATGCCAACCAAGCAAAGGTAATGTTTCGTCGCATTTGGATTTTAGAACCCGAACTCAAAATGTGGCCACCTTCTTTGTCATCATTTATTATCATGTAGTTCACCGGAGCTATCAAAATGCATAAATGTTTCGATAGGCACTGCTGAGGACTATTAGTTCAATGCTATCAGTGTTTTGTCTGTATAAAATTTTGGGGTCGTGTATTGATTTGACGCCTGATCACTATTAATATATAGTTTTAACGGTTCTAACCATCTTCTGTCATCTTATATATTCTATATTACATATTCTGTAATAGTGAATCTGGTGTTGGTTTGGACATAAAAAAATATTGGCGGACGTGAAAAGTCGTTGAGCATGTGTTGTGGTGCAATTTATTGCGGCTTTGTTCATTTTGCCCCTCTATTATTGCTCTTTTGTGTGACTAGCTTTATTCTTTATTTTCTGAAAAAGTGTAGACTGATATGATTTGATGCCTTATTATTTGTTCTATATCATGATGTTTACACGAGTTATGGATATTTAGTTCAATGTGATCCTTTCTGGTATCTAGCCCATAATCATATTTAAAAATTTAATGATTTTATTCTGTGCTAATTACAGGTCAAGGAGATTTTATCGCACTATCCATCCAACTATAAGCAATCTACAGTGATCCCTCTTTTGGATCTTACCCAGCAGCAGCATGGAGGGTGGCTCCCTATTTCTGCAATGAATGTGGTATCTTTGCATTCTGCCTGATGTATTCTTTTTAGCATGTCTTGTCACTAGCATACCCATGCTCAATATCTCCTTCTACTCTTTGTGAATTATAAAATTTACTAGCATTTACAAAACCTATGTGATGCATTCCAAAATTCTCTATATTTCTATTTGGATTCTTTTTTCTACCACCATTTCCTTTCTTTCTTTTTTTTTTCCAACTATAACATTGGCATCATTCCCAACATTTTTGTCACCAGAACCATCCCCATCACCAACATCATTTCCAGCATTTCCAGCACCACCAGTATCATCATTCCCAACAGCACCAATATCATCATTCCCAACAACACCAGTAGGCTTTTTATGTGCATTACTTTGCATAGTACTTGGTAAGTCACGTTCAGGACCAGTCATTTTAACAAGCTCTTCATCCTCAGAAACCCAAACTACTTCAACTCTAACACCTTCTAAGTTAGGGTTGTGAACACTATGAGTAACATTTTCCTGCTCCTCCTCATTATCATCATGTTGTTTCCTTGCAACTATCTTCTTTCGAGTACGTTTGACTCGACCAAATTGAGGAACTTCTATATCAAATTCATCATCTAATCCAGAAGCCCTCTCCTCCTCTGAATCATCTAACTAAACATCCCTCACAGAGTCATCATCACTGTTAGAGAAATTATCCCCAACAACACCTTCATTGCCACCAACACAAACTGCAAACATTTCCACTTCCACATTGTTAGTAATTGCAAAGTGTACTGTCCGTACCGCGAAGCCGAGCTCGAGCTCGGTATCACAGCGTAGATTGACATCGGACACACGCTATACAACATCGGCCAAGACAAAGCCCACTATCTGAACAGGTCACAACCGACCTCAGGCTCAAGGCCCAGATAAACCCAAACTCACAATAAGAAACGTGCATTACTTATACGAGACCCATACATCCACAAACACTAACTTTAGCATCGAAGTCTTTTTTGCAAGTACCACCCCCACTTCGGAGCAGCCGGCGTACCCAGCAAAAAAGGCTCACCAATCTTGCCCAGTAGATCGTCCCTCACGACCGATCTCCGGTAAGAACACAAAGTTTGTCATGTCTAATGCAACACTATCACAATTGATCTCTTTGAAATTAGAAGGACCAAATTTCCACCACAGCTTAACAGAATGCTCTCTATATGCCAAGTCTTCTTTTACAATTCCCACAGCTTCAAAATAGGACCAACTATCCATATCCATATTCTTCACATTCACTGCCTCCCTGCCCCCAACAGAATGCATCACAGGGTCTAACTCAAAACGACCCCCGTGATGAAGTTTCAAATTGAAACCCATTATTAACACAACTGCAAAGGAATCAAATCTTTGAGTTAAAAAAACCTCAGCAATAGAACAGTTAAAGCCTATCAAATTGTAAACCCTAATAACCTAAGCAACCACTTACCTTCAACACAAACAGAGAATGACAAGGGGCTTCGTCCAGAACAACTTTGGCAGTCCTCAACAATGACAACAACTACCTCTATTTATGGCTACAAAATCTCACCTCTTTAATACTTCTCCATAAATGGTCAACGAAGAATGGTGTTTCAAACTTCAAACGCAAGGAACAAAGAACCACGCAGAATGCGCGTTTCCAAATTGAAGAAACACAAAAACAGAGAGCATTGACAAAAAAAAGGAGAATGAAAAAGAAAATGAAAAGGAATTACAACTTCAATATTTTGAAAATAAAAAAGGAACAATTTTCAAACATGATTTTTTGAGTTCCTGAGGTTGAAGATGAATGAGATAATGAATTTTTGAGTTTGTAAATTTCTAACATATACGCGAAACTAATTTTTTAAAAAAATTTCAAATCTGACGTGGAAATTTACGTGGAGAATGAGGTGGCGATGTGTGTTGACATGGCATACACTGTTGGGTGATGACGTGGCAGTCCGTTAGCCACGTCATCATTTAACAGATGGAGACTAACGTGAGGTACTAAATTGAAAAAAAAATAGTCAGGTTATTTAAACAAAAAAAAAATTAAATAGTTGTTCGAAAACCGATCTAATTCGAGGTAGTTTAAACATATTTAAGCCTAAGAAATATTATTAATAAAATTATTTTATATCACATATATCTTCTTTTTCTCTATAGTCACCGTTGCCTCCTCTAGTTTAGACTTGCATATTCACTTTACATGTCTTCTATAGCCACATATTCTCCACACGACATTTGATCTTTGTGGAGAAAAGAAAAATAATAGATAAAATGGAAACTTACTTCCCAATGATCCCTTAGGGAGAGATAAGACCAAGAAGGCTGAAGGATGATAAAGATGATTGGAAGAATTGTAGGGCATTTACCCTTATTTTGTAGGGTACCCTACATTTGGAGGCCTATCTTACCTTAAGGACTCCTATTGATTGTTTTACATTTTTTTCTTGTTAGTAGTGATTGTATAGGATATTTTTGACCATGTATTTTGAGTCAAGTAGTATAGAAAATTTTATCCTTGTATTTTTTTTAAGGGTGTAATTAGTAGTTTAGGAGAGGTGTAACTAGCCTAGACCATAGACTTATTTGGACTTGGATGGCCTAAACATTTTCCTAGCCCATTAAGGTTGGACGTCCACTTGTCTAAGCAAGTGGTTTGGACGTTCAAGCTTAATGAACAAGTCATCCAAGCTTGTTAAATAAGTCACATGGCCTCGATAGGGACATCTCAACAAACTAGTCAAAGTAATCATTAGTCTAGTAGTTGTAATAATTAGATTAGGTAGTTAGAGTTAACTTAAGTTAACCTAGGTTATTCTTAAACTAGGATTAGCTTAGCTTTGTCCATAAGCTTCTAGACAACCTAACTAGACTTGTAGAAAGTTAACTAGGGTTTTCCATCAATAGAAGTGGGGTTGAATAGTATCTATAAAAAACTCAACACTTTTTTGAAATGGCGAAGTATTCAAGCAAGTCCAAAAAGAATGTAGATGAAGTAAATCAAAGCTTTCAAGATATTTTTATAGTAGTTCATCTCAACCACAAGATTTCATTCAATTCTTGATCAAGTTCAACTATCTTTCACCAAGATACAAGTATTTTTTCACAAGTTTCTTCTAACTCAACTTAAGTGTTCTTTGATTTGCCTTTTTCAAACAAATTACCCAAGTATTCTTTAAACAATAAAGTTTCTTCAGGTTTCAAAACCAAGTATTATTTAAACAACAAAGCCTCTCCAGACTTATAGCTAAAACATATAGTTTATTTTGGGCAAGGATAACTGAAAATTTTCTTACTTACAAGACATAATACAACTTGAGTACAAAGATTTACAGAAAATTTACAAAGAATGAACAAATATGATTGTTGATTCTCTTTGTTCTCTAAGGTTGAAGCTCATTTGCATAAGTGATCTTGAAGATAAGCGTTGCAATTCCTTGAGTAGCACTGGTTGATTTGTTTCGTCTTACTTCGTCTTGCTTTATTGTAGAACTAGGTGCCTGTTGATGTAATAAATGCATGTATTAAATGTGTTTCGCCAAAAGATCACTTTTTATCTAATCAATGAGATTACTTATCACTTTTAAGGTACTGAAAGGAAGATATTATTGCATGTTTTAGTCAAGAATGTCTTTTCACAAACTTCAATAAATCTATTTATCCTTGCAAAATGGTCAGTCGATAACTTATCATGCATTTCAAGGTTCATAATCGTCTATGACTAAGACTAATACTATCATCTTAAACATGTGATCTTAAGACTTCTTTTTCGAAAATGTTTTATTTTAAAACTTAATTTGAGAGGATTCTAGATCGTCTTTTAATCTAACAATCTCCACCACATCTTCTTTGAAGATGGTTTGTCTTTTTACAATGTAGACAAGGAGTAAAAATCTCACCCTTTTTTTTATTGGATCCTTCTATTTTTTTGTTCTTCATATATATATTTGCCATTGCTTGAGTTTTGTGCTTTCATATGAAAAGCACCGTGTAATGCCTCATCTTTTCTTATCTATTATTTGCTCCTAAGCCTATAAAGCATTTATCAATTTTTTTAAGGTGATGTTTGACTTGTCTTTTAACTTTTCCAATGCTATCTACAATTCATTTTTTTTTTTTTGGAATAGTGGCAATAATTTTTGCACTATTCTTTCACATAGAAAATGCTTACCAAGAAGTTAAACTTTATTTGTTATGCTTAACCTTACAACATATATAGCCTTTTATCATTTCTGTCTCCTTCATGCTCTACGTTTTAAATTTTTTTCCTAAGTTAAAAACTTTCAAGCCTTTGGTTCTTTCATAGCATTGATATTATGATTTTGGATAATCTGAAATGTGTTTGGTGGACTTCAAGTTTGTAATTCTTTATCTAAGTCAGTGTAGGATTTGCTGGTAACTCAAAAACTTCATAGTCTTTTTCTATTGCCTACCAAACATCTAAACCTTCAAGATGAATCCTAGTAGTCCATAACTCGTACTCCTCATTGTTATTTTGAAAATTGGATCGGACTCGCCGGTTCAACCAATGGACTACGAACTTGTATGGTTACAATTTGAAAGTTAACAAACACTAGAGTGTTTTAGAACTACTGAGAATTGGTCAAAAATCAGTTGAACAAACCTTCAATTGGTGTTAAAAAAAAGAGTTTGAACTAGGTCCTATTTTAAAAAAATATTTTTTAATTTAGAAATTTAATTTAAAATATTTTTAATAAAAAAATTCATATGTAATAAAAAAATTTAAATTAGAATAAATTATTATACCAATTATTTTTAATAATTTTTATAATTTATATGATATTAATTTAATATTTTTAGTGAACATTTGTATATCTTATTAAAATTTGAACTTAAATGTTACATTATATTTAGTTTTGACTTTTACATATACAATAAACTATGATATTATATTTATTTAATATTATTTTTTATTAATAATAACAATTTTTTTTTTTTTAATATTAATATCAATTTGATAAAAATTTAATTACGATTAAATCATTAAATCTTGAATAAATGTCTAAACTAGTTTAATA